TTTTTTGAGACAGAGTCTCGCTCTGTCACCAGGCTGGAGTGCAGTGGTGCAGTCTTGGCTCACTGCAACCTTCACCTCCCGGTTTCAAACGTTCCTCCTGCCTCAGCCTCCCAAGTAGCTGGGACTACAGGTATGCGCTACCACGCCCAGCTAATTTTTGTATTTTTCGTAGAGACAGGGTTTCACCATGTTGGCAAAGATGGTCTCCATTTCCTGACCTTGTGATCCACCCGCCTCGGCCTCCCAAAATGCTGGGATTACAGGCATGAGCCACTGCGCCCAGCTGCAGAATGTTTTTTAAGGTCATCTTCTGTTTGTGCAACTTCAGGCAAAAAGACCAACAAAATAATGGACTTCATTAAGGACAGTACTGCAAAAGGGACAGAAAACACTATCCTTTCCTGAACAAAAATATGGTCTGAACTAACACCTGAATAACACAATGAATCAACCACAGCAAGATCTGGAAGAAGAGTACTGAAGCCCCAAGGTAAAGCAAGTGCAAAGGCCCTACAGCAATAACCAGCTTGGCAAGTTCCAGGAACAATAACATAAGTGGGGTTGGAATACACAAAGAAACTCATGTGGCCAGGTTCCAGGGTACTAAACTAAGTAGAAGGATACAAAGTAAGATAAGACAGGAAGGCAGCGGCAAACCTGTAGTGCCTGGCAAGCTTTGGTAGAGTTTGGATTTTATTCTGAATATGGATGGGAGACTTTCAACAAGGGAGTGTCAAGGTAGTTTACATTTTAAAGGATTTCTTAAACTGGTAAGGGAAATGCACAATAAAAGTCAAAGCAGAAGCAAGGAGACCAGGAGTTGCTGCAATAGATTAGAGATGAAGATACCCTGCCTGGCAAAGGTGATGGCAGTAGGGATGGGAAGAAGTGGACAAACCTAGATCATATACTGAACACTATAATTTAAGCCAAATTGCAGAAAAATAAACTAAGTTGTATAATGAGTAGTAAACGTCTAGGACTAATCATATAAGAGACGCAAAATGAAAACGGAGATTTAAAGGTTTTAGGTAAGTTTATGAGACTCAAACCCAAAATAGGTTATTGGCAGATTTAAGATAGTTCATGGTATGTACTTATCCTTTGAAGTTGAGATGAAGCAGACATTTCCTTCCATAGCAGGCTCTTTTGGTGCCAACTGGTAAAGCACTGGACCAAATGGGCACACACCAAGACTCAATGCATATTAAGTGTGATGTGGGCCAGGTGAAGTGGCTCACGCCTGTAATCCCAGCACTGTGGGAGGCCAAGGTGGGCAGACCACTTGAGGTCAGGCGTCTGACATCAGCCTGGCCAACATGGTGAAACCCCAACTCTACTAAAAATACAAAAATTAATTGGGCGTGATGGTGTGTGCCTGTAATCCCAGCTACTCAGGAGGTTGAGGTTGGAGAATCATTTGAACCTGGGAGGCGGAGGCTGCAGTGAGCTGAGATCCACCACTGCACTCCAGCCTACACGATAGAGCAAGACGCCCATCTCCCCCCCCAAAAAAAAAAAAAAAAAAAAAGGTGTGATATGTAAAGTTAAAATCTTCTAGGACCTTACTGCCTGGCGCCTGAACAGCTAATCAGCATTTGGAACAGAGTATAACTATGACATAGAACTAAATATCACCCGAATCAAACCACTGAGTTAGCAAAAACGATTTAAACTTTGATATCATCAATTCCAGCTGTGCTTTCTTTCCCAAGAGCCAAACAAGTGAGGCCTTACTTTGCCATGCAATGCATATTAATTTTTCTTTTTTTTCTTTTTTTGAGACAGAGTTTTGCTCTTGTTGCCCACGCTGGAGTGCAACGTATGGCATGATCTCGGCTCACTGCAATCTCTGCCTCCCGGGTTCAAATGATTCTCCTGCCTCTGCCTTCCCCGTAGCTAGGATTCAGACATATACCAGCATGCCCAGCTAATTTTGTATTTTTAGTAAAGACAAGGTTTCTCCATGTTGGTCAGGCTGGTCTCAAAAACTCCCAACCTCAGGTGATCCACCCTCCTTGGCCTCCCCAAAGTGCTGGGATTACAGGCGTGAGCCACCACGAATGGCCTAATTTCTTAAAGTTTACATTATCATAGAGATTTGTGAGGAAACCTTTTAAAACCATGCTTTTAATGATTATGGTTTGGCAAACATAGAGTGGTCCCCCATTATCCAAAAGGGATACATTCAAAGAAACCCCAGTGGGCTGGGCCTGGTGGCTCGTCATGCCTGTAATCCTAGCATTTTGGGAGGCCAAGGCCAGAAGATCACTCAAGCTCAAAGTCTGAGACCAGCCTGGGCAACACAGTGAGATCTCATCTCTATTAAATTTCAAAATTTAAAAATAATGAAACAAAGACCCCTCCAGTGGATGCCTGAAGCCCATATAGTACAGAACCCTATATAGAGAGAGAGGCTATGTTTTTTCCCTATACATACCTATGATAAAATTTATAAATTAGGCACAGTAAGAGATTGACAATAGTTAACAATACAACAGTTATAACAATATATCATCATAAAATTTATGTAAATGTGGTCTCTCAAAATATGATTCTATTTTCGAACTGCGGTTGACCACAGAAACGGAAACCCCTGAAAGTGAAACCACGGATAAGGCGGCACTACTGTAAAGTGAATACTCCCTAAAATTTAAGGTCTAAAGTCCGTATGTGCAAAACTTCAAATTATTACTCAAAAAACAGAATGTGAAAAAAGCAAGTTACGTACTGAAAGCATATGGGGTGTGATAGCATATTTGTATAAAATATACAAATTCAAAAAAGTAGTTTAGAAGGGTATAAACTAACATTTTGGTGATCTTTGGGTGGCAGGATTATTGATTTTTCTTTTATCCTATCTGCTTTTATCAACATTTTCTCTATTACAAAGTATTTCGTATAGCCAAAAATATTAGTTATAGGCTAGCATAAAAAGTAAAAAGCTGAAAAAAGAGAACTTCAATAAAATTTTCCTTCTAAATCAGGATTCCAACTGCGATAGTAAGAAAAAGGATCTCACTGGCAAACACTGGAGAAAAGATTCATTAAGAGGTCCATGCTATGCCATAAGGACATACCCTTCAAGGAAATAATCTAAATTCCTAACTCTTCCTGGATTTGATAAGGAGCAATTGACCATCAGGTACTGTTGTTGTTCTTTCTTGCTGTTGACCACAGAAACACTTCAATTAATGAGTTTTGGGGGCGGGGGTGGTCTTTTTAAAAACCATGTTAGAAAAAAAAAAAGGACAAAAAAGGGCTTCTGTCGTGAGTGGCACACGTAGAGTAACTCGATTGCTCTTCGTGCGGAATCGACATCAAGAGATTTCGGAAGCATAATTTTTTGGTATTTGGGCAGCTGGTGATCGTTGGTCCCGGCGCCCTTTAAAAAAAAAAAAAAAAAAGGACAAAAGGACTTAGTTTTCTGGTCGGTCGCAGTGCTGTCAAGGGCCGCGGAAAGCGGCAAGTTCGGAGCAGGCTACACTAAAGGAATCTGCGCGGCCGGCCACCCTAAGTGGAAGGGAATGCAAGCTTCCTGCAACCTCCACAGCGCTAGGCAGCGAGGATGCCTCCTAAGAGTCTCAAGACTCCAACACCTGGAAGGTCTTACGCTTTCCAAGTTCTAGTATGTACAGCTGCCAACTGTTTCTGACAATAACATACAAAAACTGGATGATCTCTTCTGCAAATGTAGCTATTACTTGCGTAGAGCTCATCCGACTCTCTCGATGCAAAACTAACACATTCTATTAAGGCCACAGCCTCGGTTTGCCAACTGGGGCAACTGAAAACATCCTACTGACTCTCCACAGCCAACAAACCATCTTGGCTAAAATCTCAGCACATATAAACAGCCACTTTGGGTAAGTCTGCCTTTAAACAGCAACACGGGACTTCGAATACAGCCGGTAACCAGTTTATCACACACTATTAGTTCCAATAAAGAGTACTGCTACCTCTGTACTGTCAACCTTGGTTCCACTTACTGAACAAACAGAAAAAGGGGATCCTTTAAATTCGCGACACAATAGCGGCTTAAAAGCTCTCGCTTTCCGGGTGGCAGCGTTTTCGTCTTATTTATCACAACAAAGGACGCATCCCAGTGACTTCACCGCACCCAGAAAAGGCTAGGAAGTCGGGAAAACAAGATAGTGTGGATTTCGGGATTTGTGAGTTTTTCCTTCCAGCTCCGACTCTCTTTTTACTCCACGATACGCCTCCACCCGAGTCGCCTATCTGATCCTAAAAATAAAACCACCCGTGGCTACCGTGCCCTTTCCTGCCAAGCCCCGACTCAGACTTCCTCCAGAGAAAGCTAAATTGCAGGCTTTTCGCGGCAGGGGGGAGGGGGGCGCAGGCTCGGCAGTAGCGGAGCTTCTCCCGGTGCAGACTCGCCAGCCCGGCCCAGGAACCGCCGAGCTGGAGAAACAGCCCGGTTCCGCCGCAGCCGCCGCAGTCCCCGTGAGCCTGAGGAGCCCCTAGTTAAAACTGGGGCGAAGGGAGGGTGGGCCAGCAAACGCTGGTGGGAGAGGGGGAGACACTCACCCGCCCAGACAACAACCGATGGGGCGGGGAGGATGGGGGCCGGGACCGAGGCTCGGCAGAAAGACCGCCTGGAGCTTCCGGAAGGCTGCGGCTGCTCCGGACGTCGCTGCCGCTGCCGCTGCCGCTCCTGGCCGCCAGCTTCCTCCCCCTCCTCTGTTTTGATTCGAGTGACCACGTCACTCTTAGCCACGAGACCCGGATCTGCCGGCTCCCAAGGGCGGCAGCGCAACAGATAGCAACGCCTGGAGACTCCAGCAACCCCGCCTATCGAGCATGCGCACGACCAGCACCTGCCCTGTGCGTCCGGGGAAGCCTGGCAGGCGCCAGCGGCTTCGGGCGCCTACGCCACGCTGTGCGTGGGGGCGCGGAGCGCGGGGGATGTAGTTCCGGTTGGGAGGGGCGTGGCTGAGAACTGTGAAGGAAACGGGGCGAGGCCGGGTGTCTGTGGAAATCTTCCGTAGCCTCTGTTTCTTCGTGGGCGGAGAGCGTTCTCTAATGTGTCTCCCTTTGCCTGAGCTAAAGGTTTAACTCGACAGAATCTTTAGAATACTTTGGTAGAGGTAGACGTGGTTAGAAATTGATGTCTGTTGAGACAGGATACCCCTGTAGAGTGTTTTAGGTCACTCAGGCCCGGATGGAAATTGGAGCTGAAGATTACAAAAATGTGTCAAATGTGGCAGTTATTGATCCCCTTTACTCTAACATTTTTGCACCGGAAGGTTGACCAAAATTAAGTTCAACAGGAACATTAAAGTGATTAGGTGGTCAGGCTTGGCGGCTCACGCCCGTAATCCCAGCACTTTGGGAGGCCGAGGTTGACGGATCACTTGAGGTCAGTAGTGTGAGACCAGCCTGACCAACATGGTGAAAGCTGGTATCTACTAAAAACACAAAAATTAGCCGGGCGTAGTGGTGCCTGGCTGTAGTCCCAGCTGCTCTGCAGGCTGAGAGGGAGGTTGCAATGAGCTGAGATCGCGCCACTGCACTCTAGCCTGGGTGATAGACCTGCCTCAAACTAAATAATTAAAGTGAGTATGTGACCAAAGATGACTTGTTGGTTAGGAGATGGTGGGGAAGTAGGAGGGAACGCTGTGGCTAGGCATTCAGCCTGCCCAAGTCTTCGTTGCTTTGGTTGTAGAGCTGGAATAAGGGTGCTGTGTGTGCCTGAACAATCTTCTTTTTAGACGAAATTGATGCTGCGTACTCTCCCATTCTAGCCTCTCAGTCTCCCTGCTAAACTTTTGGGTCCCCGGAAATTTCCCAATTTGGCAAAATGTAAAACTGTATTGTTTTCTTAGAGCCTTGAATTGGCAAGCTTTAATTAGAATGGGACAAGTGGCGAAGTGAAAGTGAGTCCCAAAGATTTCACAAAAATGCCTCTTTGTCAGTCTTGACGGAGAGGTGAAAGCTGCAAGCTTTCTTGTTCTGATTTAATGACCTTTTCACCTACGCAGACTTCCACCTCAGCTATTTGGTTAATTACTCCTCAACAAGCTGAATCCACTTTCCCCAAATTAGTATAATTTACAAGAGCTTTTTAATTAAAGTGGATATTGAACACAGGTAAAGGTTTCTACAAAATTAAAGGTTTCTGGTAAAACTTGAAGTGTTTCCCAGTTAACTAATTACAAGTAGGTACAAAGAAAAAAAGATTTTGGCCCTTTATCTGCAATCTTGAACTCTGCTTACTTGGATTCAGAGTTTGAGATGGATTCTGGTGACCTAATGAGCTGACACTGTACCAGAGGGTCTTTAATTTGTGGAACTCTAAACAAAATTTTTTATGCTTGAGTGCACCCATATGCACATATGTGTTTGAGGACACAGCTGTTTTTAAGAGAACAGTGTGGTACAAAACTAGAATTGTACTGGGTGTTGCAAAATTCTCAGTACTTTTTTTTTTTGAGATAGGGTCTTGCTGTGTTGCCCAGGTTGGAATGTAGAAATGTGGTGGTACCATCATAGCTTACTACAGCTTTGAACTCCTGGGTTGAAGTGATCCTCCCATCTCAGCCTCCCGAGTAGCTAGGACTACAGACTCATGCCACCACACTGAGCTAATTTTTTTTTATTCGTTATAGAGATGGGGTCTTGCTATATTGTTAAGGCTGATCTTGAACTCCTGGTCTCAAGTGATTCTCCTGTTTCAGCCCCCCAAAGTGTTGGGATTACAGGCATGGGTCACTGTGCCCACCCAGTACTTGCTTTATAAAGTAAATTACAGGAAAACCAAGATATTAGTGTTGTACTGGATCGAGCGTAGAAAGCACCAAGACAAAAGTATGCCAGATTGCAGGGTCATTTATTATGCCGGCGACCACAGAGGACTCACGTCTCTCCAACCTGTGGCGTCAAAAGGAGGGTGCCAAGACTTTTTATACCTGAAAAACCACCTTGGGAATGGGGGTGAGGAGCGGGGATGGGGATGAAAAGGTTTCGGACATTCCAAGGGCTAGGGGATTCTGTGATTCACCTCCTGGGCGGAGACGAGGGCAGGGGTCTCCAGACATTCCAAGGGCCAGGGGACTTTTGTCATTCTGTTTGTTACTTCAGTGGTTTACAGAAGTCAAGATAAGCATTTATTTACACACAGATCTTAGTTATCCCGGGCTGCTTATTTTAGTTATTACCGGTAAGCAAAGGCTAGTAATTCTGGCACAATATCACATTAGGATTAGCCTGGCAAGGTGGCTTAAATGCCTGTAGTCTCAACTGCTCAGGAGGCAGAAGCAGGAGAATTGCTTGAACCCAAGAGTTGGAGGCTTTGAATAGCCACTGCACTCCAGCCTGGGCAACATAGCAAGACCTTGTCTCAGAGAAAAAAAAAAAAAAATGTTGGGATCCTTGGTAGCCAGGCTCTAAGATGACCCCCAAAGATTCTCACCTCTGATGGCCTGCACCAGCCCTTTGAATCAGGGCTACTGTGTTTTACCAAAAGAATACAGCCAAATGTGTGTGACTTCTGAGGCTAGATCACAAAGGCCCTGATTGCAGCTTTCCTTCTGATTCTCTTTGATTGCTTGCTCTGGGGGAAACCAATCTCCACACTACTCCACTTAAACAGCCCTATGAAGAGGTCTACATGGAGAGGAGAAAAAGCCTCCACCAACTTGCCAGCCATGTGAGTGAACTAACTTGATTGATCCTACAACCCTAATCAAGCATTCAGATGACTGTATCCCTGCCCAGTATCTGACTGTAAGTTCGTAAGAGCTAGAAGAGGCTAGCTCTTAGTCACAGACACTGATAGGTGGTATTATTATATGCTTTTTTGTCCTGATCTTTTTTTTTTAATTGTACTTCAGTTCTGGGGTACATGTGCAGAACATGCAGGTTTGTTCTGTGTATAGATATACACATGCCATGGTGGTTGGCTGCATCCATCACCCTGTCGTCTACATTAGGTATTTCTCCTAATGCTATCCCTCCTCTATCCCTCCACCCCCCGACAGTCCCTGGTGTGTGATGTTCCTCTCCCAGTGTCCATGTGTTCTCATTGTTCAACTCCCACTTATGAGTGAGAACATGCGGTGTTTGGTTTTCTTTTCCTGTGTTAGTTTGCTGAGAATGATGGTTTCCAGTTTCACCCATAAAAAAGTGTGATATGAACTCACCCTTTTTATGGGTGCATAGTATTCCATGGTGTATATATACCACATTTTCATTATCCAGTCTATCATTGATAGGCATTTGGGTTGGTTCCAAGTCTTTGCTGTTGTGAACAGTGCTGTAATAAACATACGTGTGCAAGTATCTTTATAGCAGAATGATTTATAATTCTTTGGGTGTATACCCAGTAATGGGATTGCTGGGTCCAATGGTATTTCTAGTTCTAGATCCTAGAGGAATCATCACACTGTCTTCCACAATGGTTGAACTAATGTACACTCCCACCAACAATGTAAAAGCATTCCTATTTCTCCACATCCTCTCCAGCTGTCTCCTGACTTTTTAATGATTGCCATTCTAACTGGCATGATATGGTACCTCAGTGTGGTTTTAATTTGCATTTCTCTAATGACCAGTGATGATGAGCTTTTTTTCATGTTTGTTGGCTGCATAAATGTTTCCTTTTGCGAAGTGCCTGTGCAACATGGTAGTTGCCCCATAAACCGCATACCTCGACCATACCTCAGCTTTCTGTTGAAACTTCTCTCTGTAACCCTAATGTGACAGGCAAGCAGTCCAAATCAACACCATTTTTGCCCCTGTGCCATTTTAAGAAAACCTAAGACTTGTAATAATAAGTAACTAAGGTCTGTAATTTTCCACCCTACCCAATGTGTAAACTAACGCTTATCTTGACTTCTGTGAACCACTTAAGTAACAATCAGAATGTCTAAAGTCCCCTGGCCCTCGGAATGTCCAAAGCCCCTTGCCCTCGCCTCCACCCAGGAGGTGGTTTACAGACATAAATGGTCTTGACACCTTCCTTTCGTGGCCACGGTTAGAGAAACGCGAGTCCTCTGTGGCCGCCGGCAATAAGGACCCTGTACAGGTATTGATCGACTTACCACCTATGCAACTTACGGCCATTCGACTTTACGACCACAATCGCTAGCCACGACTGCTCCACGTCTGGCAGCGCAAACATTGCCCAGCTGGGAGTACGACAGTGCGGACCAGCTTCTGGCAGCACTACCATCTCCACGTGCACCATTTCAACTGTACATATAGCCTACTCAACTTACGACCAAATCATGTTAGGACCGGTCCGCGGTCCCGACCATGGTCGTAAGTTGAGCACTAGCTGTAATTTGGCTTAGTCTTTGTCTCAGTGGTGATTTTGCGCTCCCTCGATTACACCACCTGTTCATGTCCTTTGCCCACTTTTTGATGGGGTTTGGTGTTTTTTTCTGTAAATTTGTTTAAGTTCATTGTAGGTTCTGGATATTAGCCCTTTGTCAGATGGGCAGACTGCAAAAATTTTCTCCCATTCTGTAGGCTGCCTGTTCACTCTGATGATGGTTTCTTTTGCTGTGCAGAAGTTCTATAGTTTAATTAGATCCCATTTGTCTATTTTGGCTTTTGTTGCCATTGCTTTAGGTGTTTTAGTCATGAATTCTCTGCCCATGCCTATGTCCTGAATGGTATTGCCTAGGTTTTCTTCTAGGGTTTTTATGGTTTTAGGTCTTATGTTTAAATCTTTAAAAAAAATATGTAACGCGACCGGGCGCGGTGGCTCAAGCCTGTAATCCCAGCACTTTGGGAGGCCGAGACAGGTGGATCATGAGGTCAAGAGATCAAGACCATCCTGGTCAACATGGTGAAACCCCGTCTCTACTAAAAATACAAAAAAAATTAGCTGGGCATGGTGGTGCGTGCCTAT